TTCTACGCAGCATCTGCGCTGAGACGCCGAGGCACTGGAGCGCCATGCTACCACTTCTAAGTTCGCTTTGAACAATGCAGTGCATACGTCTACCGCCTACACGCCGTTTTACATGAACGGGCTCATTCTCGTGTCCCGCTGACGCCGCCGTCCCATGGCTCAGGACTTGGTGGCGGAGGAATGGCCAAGCGGCTAGCTGATGTCAGCCCCCTCGCTGTGCGTAGTGAAGTCGATGACTTCCTGTCCACCAGACTGAGTGTCTTACGACACGTTCGCGATGCATTGGCTCAAAACCAAGACATGCAGAAATAATATGCAGACGTAGAAATGTCGAAATTTTGAGGCCGGAGACCTGGCTTTATTAAATGTTAAAACCCTTCCCACACATGCCGTTTCTGCTGTCTTTAAGACAAATGTCCGTTCAAGGGTTATCGGACATTTTAAGGTCGTGGCCAAGCATGGCCTTGTGTATACGCGGATGCACACCCACCCGGTGTTTTATGTGGGCTTGCTTAAGCCGTACCGGGATCTGGCGCAAGTGAACGCAGAAGCGTTGACACCGGTGCGGCGCCAAATGGCGCTCGACCGACCTGAAGCTGAACCAGCAACTGATTTTGAGCATGGAGTGCAACGATTTCAGCTTTCGAAGGCGCCAGGCGCTCCACCGTCGCGTGAAGTGACTGCTCGACGGCTAGAAGCCGCTCCGACAGAGCGCTATATTCCTCACCGTGAGGCAGTCGGTGCACAAAGTGCTCCAAGCATTCGGGGTTTTCCGCACTGAGGTATGCAACCTCAGCATGATGTTCAGCGGAGCACCGATGGCGACGGACCTTATGCTCATGAGCTCGAAGAGCATCGCGAGTCACAGGACGGCGATCGAATAAGTCGTCATTGTCCGCCGTTGAATCCCCTCGACGAGGTCAATGGCGTCCAGTATCACGTGGAATGCCTTGTGGGTCGACCTCGTTCACAGTGGCGGGAATACCCAGACTCGGAGAACTCGTGGGAGTTTGAGGTCCCACTTTGGCAAGACTGCCCATACGTCGTAGATGCTTATGATCCGAGGAATCATGACGCTCAGACTCGTCATACGCTCCGCGCAACTCGGCAGCTATCAGGGAAGCCGAAGGGCCATGGGCTGAGATCATACTATGGCTTTGAGCTGCTGTGGTCGTAGACTCACCCGTATGAGAGACCACATAGCTCGTGGGAGCGTGATGGATTGATCCATACGTCATGGGGTGACAATACGAAAGAAGTTGACGTTGCGCTTTGAGTTTGGCACACTCGAAGCGAAGATGGCGCTTTACGCGCACGCCCATCTCCTTGTGGCTTCACTGATAGTTAGACAGCGTTGAAAGGTTCCTGTGCCGCTGCACCCATCGCTCAAAGAGCTCTTCATTATCTGCTTCACCAGGGGCGAGTACCACAGGAATCTTCCGTATTGCGGGTACAGAAGCACCGCCTCTTTGAGCGCGAAGTCGAGCGCGGTACATATCCATTGGCATTTTTTGAGATACCAAGAAGCGAGCTCGGAGCGTTTTTTGTTGGTCAAGCTCAGCTTGTGTAGTAGCCGAGAGCCCGACTACGTAAACGCCCAACGATCGAGTGATCACGTTCTTCGCTTTAGTAGCGAGATCCGCCGAGCAAAAGCCGTATTCCACGCGAAGTTCTCGGACCAGCCGTGGATGCGCGCGCATAGCCGCCCTGCGGGCAGCCTCTAGCATCGGTAATGATACCACTTCCCCAAAAGTCGAGAGGTCGAGAAACGGACACGGTGTCCGCAAGGTTCGAGCAGGGATCACGTCGCGCCGTTGGCACACCCTCTCCTCCTCCTCTTCCCATCCTGGGAATGGAGTATCCGAATCGTTGTCGACTTATCCCGAATCCTCGACAAGGAAATTCATCGCCCTTGGCGGGCGCGGTATGCGGCGTCCGGTGGTCGAGGGCTTGAGATGCGCTTTTCCTTTAAAACCGCGGGCGTACTGTACGGAGTTGCACCGCGTGAAGGAGAAGAAAAAGGGTTCTGCCCGCGGACGCTTTCGGAATCTGCGTGGCTGGATGTTTTCGTGTCATAGATCCAAGGATCATTAAGCAGAGAATGTGTGAAGTAGGTCTTGGGGACGTAATGGTGTCACAGACACGCAAGCATCGTGGGAGGCGACAATTAAATGTGAATTGTGGTCATTCACAGGTTTGTTGAGGGAGAGTGTACGGTGTTACACGTACCCTGATATAAAAGGGTAGGTTATACGAGCTGTAGTGACCATACAAAGGAGTCGATTACACAAGACGGTGTTCACACAATGGTGTGGCTACACCGTAACAAGAAGCAACTACGTAGCGGGACTGCCAGTAGTAAGTTATCATATTTATTATTTAGTTAGAAAAACCTGTTTATTTAGATATAGGCGGTTTTGCCGCAAATAAAACCGATAAATACAGTTTGAATCATGAACGGAAGAGTATATCTGGCTTGGGCTAATGTGGGTACTCTTAGAGGTAGCGAATTGCGATCCGCTACACTCATACTGATTGTTATATACAACGTCAGGTCGGTGACCTTAGCTTAGTCTCCTCTAAGCAAAGAGCTACAGCAGCCCCGCTGTACCAGTACATCATGCGAATACGCACGACAAAGACCTGCTTCTCCCTACTGTGCCAACTTATGTCTGCTCCAACTAATCCATATTTCGAGTGTTTTTGATAACGTACCCGCATTCAGCGAGCCATTGTGAGTGGTATAGCTCCAGCGACCGACTGTGTGCGAGATCTAGTGAGCGCGGCAGCAAATATACGCTCCAATGGGAATGGTCACAGTGAAACCCTAGTAGCCGCCTTCACCAAGAGCCAAACGGCGAAGCCGCTGCCGAAGGTTGAAGTTCTTTATCTGCCTCCACTGCGCACAAGTTGCGTACTTCGTGCTAGTATATTATGGGGAGTTATTACGATACGCCGCTGCGCTGTGAGGAAGCCCCTACACTCCTCTGTGCGCGTGACTTCCGCTCGAACCGCGAGAAATAAGGCAATGTATTGTCGCTTTAATAGCACTATGAGCAACTTCTCAGCGAAAATGCTGAAGAGAACGCGCACCGGGTGACGAAGGCACGTCACTTCACCCATCTTACGGCTTACATTTAGCTTCATTGAAAAGACGTCAGGCTAGGGCATCCGAGCTCTGCGAAGCACAAAGAAAAACGTAGACGCCGAAGTGAACGCTCATCGCCTCTTGCTGTTAGATACTCTACTCATCTCCATGACGCCTACCGATCAAGTCTTGCGCCTGGGACATGTTCAGGCTACTCTTGCTAATGGTTTCCGCGTCGCGCTGAGCAACCCTATTTCTTATATTGGAGAGGTGAACATAGAGGGCACACCAAGTCTTAACGATTAACGGGACCATGGCAGTCGTGATGTGGGACCTTAAATTCTCATCAAGTCTCAAAGTTACGTTGTATATTTACAAGCTACACAAGGGTAACCCACAATATGGTTTCAACAAGCCCACATAGATCGGATGTGCTCGCATTCGCTTCGGGATGTTGGATGTGTAGCTCAGTGTCACTCTTAGCTACAAACGTAAATGATCCAATGTAGCCATAATATAACTTAGTCGTCGCGAACTTGGCGTGATTTACTTGAAGTGAGATCTTTGGTTGTCCTACTAAAGGTTGCTAGACTGAAATAGCGCGTCCAATCTTATCAATACCCCCACTAACCCTGAGTCACTTTTTGTTGGTGACGCGGGGACACGGAGTTGAATTATATGAAAAAAATAAACAGATGTAATTTTGTCGAGGTGTTTTTTATGCCGCTGAATGTAAGGTCAATGAATGGAAGCAATTCCTTCGACGTCGCGGTCGCTCCATGTAAGTGCTTCAAAGTATATTTTTCCCACGCGACAAATGCTTTCTATCCAAACATCTGAGTATGTCCAATCGGGTGTCAAAAACCTTGTGCAAAGCTCCCTGAAAGCTTGTTATATTGCATTAAGGAGACTAAAAACATAATACATGCTGTTAGACTGCCAGAACTCTGCCAAAATCTAGAGACTGAACAGGATGTCGACGTAGGTGAGTTTTGTTTTCGTGGACACGTCTTCCACGTGCGTCATAAATGCTTTCCCATTTGAGCACGCTGTGCCACCAGTACGACGCGCTCACTAAGCTACACGTCGTTTTACTACTAATACACTACCCAGATAGTATTGTTTGCCTCATAAAGAGTTCTGTACAGAGATTTTTATATGCAAGCCGGGCTTGCTGGTCGTGGAGGTGACCGTAAAGGACTTCGAGAGGCCATGGAAGATCCTCATCGAATCCGGGGCGTCGGGCAACTATGCTCAACGCTCCACGATAGAAGAAAGTCAGCTGTATGCTGAGGCACTGAAAGCGCGGTTGAGTGACACCGTTACTGTTCGCTTAGCGACGGGGACTTGTGTTACTGTGCCGAGCGTCCCTGTAAACCTGGATGTCTAGTTTTGTTATTTCGATAGCGTGGAACACTGCTTAGTCTAGATTTGGATTCAAGGTATGACCTTATTCTTTATATGACATGGTTGGAGCACCATGAGCCATGGATTGATTGGAGGTCGAAGACTTAGGGCGCTACATGCACATCTCCTGGTGGAGCATCAATGAGCAATGAACCCACCTCTGCTAGGAAGCAGAAACGCTATTGGCGCGGGCACTGGACCGGGACGGTCAATGTGCTGGATATTGAATATCCGAGATGCTAAACATGCGTGGAGTGGCACGTTATCCACTGAACGAAGACTGCGGGGTTTGCAGCTCTCGGATGTTGTAGATAACATCGGAACTTCAAAAGAGCGGACAGCGAGGGTGACACCGGACGACGCGGAGCGCGTGTTCGCCCTGGTCTCACCGAGACATAGAACCTCTGTACAGAGTCGACGGCGACGCTTGCTGGCTGTAAGACGCCGTGCGTCGACCCTGATCCAGGGTGTGTCTCCCGTAGACGACGGTGCACAGTTATACACCCTCGTCATTGGTATGACGGGGGAGGAATATGATGACGTCCGCCTCGAGGCTATACCTGCAGTAGATGCTCTTCTTGAGCTGGACGAGATGT